AGAGTCTCATTCAGTCACTGGTAGAAAGCAGTGGCATCATCATAGCTCACTACGACCTCAATCTCAAGTGATCTTACCACCTCAGCCTCCCAGAGTGTTACGATTACAGGCGTGAGCCATCATGCCTGGCCAATATTCCTTTCCTTTTAACTAATTACCCCAAACCATTTCCATATTTGGAATAATATTTTTAATCTTATATATATTTCTATCAAAATCATTAAAAGAGCAATTAATATAATAGCATCTCCCAAATTCAAACATTTTGTTATCCATTATACTGAATACAGGGCAAATACATCATAAACAAACAGGTGATGTCCACAGGGATAGAAGTGTAAAAACCTCTGAAAATATACCTCTCCATAATTGCAAATGAGAATACTAACAAAAATTGTCAAAAGCAACTTTTTCAAACCTCTAGAAAATAACCAAAGATTTCAACAACTCCAGGAGCATTTATTCAAGAAAAATACTAAATTAGCTAAGAGTGAACAGTGTTAGTTTACAATCCCTGAGGCAACCACTAACAAAATCATTTTTAAAATATGTAATAATAATTATAGAAATGACAAGGGAAATTAAAATAGTACATCAGAAAATATTTATTTAAAACAAAAGAAGGAAGTAATGCAGCAAGAGAGACACACCCCAAAAATATTGTAAGACACAGAAAAATAAAATGGCAAATTAACTCCTGCCTTATCAGTAATTACATGAAATAGAAACGGATTAAAGTTCCCAATCAAAAGAGAGATGGACAGAGCTCTATTCCATTAAACTCTGAGTATGCTACCCACCTTCCACTAGGCCCTGGTGTATCAATACGATAAGCATACAATGATAGTTAAGCCAGTTTCTCAGGAAGAACATGTAGAGCACAAACACAGGTGTGCCTGCTACATATGCCTGAGGAATACCATTTAAATCTCACAAAGAGAAAGAGGATGCTGGATCAGAAGTAAAGAACAGAGAAGGGACAGTAAGTGGACAGCTCTGTGTGGTCAGCGAAGCAGGGCAGGGCCCTTGGTGGCTGGGCAGAGACATGCTTTGACATCTCCAGGAGGAAACAGTGGGGCTGAGACCGTGAAGAAACCCAGATGGAGAGGCCACCGGGGTCCACCTCAGAGACAGGCTCCGGAGGGTCAGTGTAGAGAGTTTCGACAGAGGAGGGACCTTCTTTTGCTCTGAGGGGGACACTGAAAGAGTGGCCAATCTGAGGACATTAGCTTCCTCGGTAAAGCTGGGGAATGTCACCAGCTGAAAGTGAACAGGTAGTGGGATAAAGGCAGATATGACAATCACAGGAAGTCTGGAAAAGGTGCTTTCAAGACTGGAACCAGGCAAACAGCAGTAGTGTGGGTCACAGGGAGGGCCCTGCCGACTCAGAGTTCCAGACCGTGTGCCTGCATGCACTCTCAGCACAGCCTGCTGCCAGGTGCGTGAGGAAAAGCTGCAGGGACTGTGCAGGGTTGGCCAAGCATGACGGTAGGGTAAAGGGAGCCCATCAGGGTGGGCATGATGAGTACACACATGTACATACTTGCTGAGACCCTTTAAAGGTATATTTTAAGTGGGTGCATTTTGATGTATGTAAATTTTCCCAATAAATCTGATGTTTTTTTTAAAAAGCAAAGACTGCCTGAATGAATGAAAAATCATAACGCAGCTATACACTGTCTACAGGAGACACACTTTAGATTGAAGGACACGAACAGGTTGAAAGTATAGCAACAGAAAAAGACGTAAATAGTAACCATAAAAGAGCTGGAGTGGCTAAGGATATTTTATGATAGAAGTGTCATTCCACCAAGAAGACATAATTATAAATATATTTAGAACTAACAACAAAACCCCAAATACATGAAGCAAAATCTGACACAATTAAAGGAAAAACAGATATTACAACAAAAATAGTTGCCAACTTCACTCCATTTTCAATAATGGATAGGACCAGTAGACAGAAGATGAGAAGATCAACAAGGAAACAGATGACCTTGAGGCTACAGACCAACCAGAACTAATAAACATACACATAGCAACCCTCACAACAGCAGCGGCAAACAGATTTTTCTCAAGTGCACATGGAAGATTCCCAAGGACATAAAACAAATTTGGGTAACTTAAATGGATAGAAATCATACAAAGTATGTTCTCCAGCTACAATGAAATGAATTTAGAAATCAATAACAAAGAAATTTAGAAAATTCATAAATATGTGGAAATTAAACAACATATTCATCAATAAATAATGAACCAAAGAAGAAATCACTAGGGAAATTAGAAGATACTTTTGAGATGTATGATAACACCAAACCTTATGGGACACAGCAAAAACAGTGCTTAGATGGAAATTTGTAGTTATAAGCACATATATTATTAATAAAAAAGAAGACCTCAAATCAATTACCTAAACTTCCACCTTAAGAAACTACAAAAAGAAGAACAAACTGAACAGAAAAGTGGAAGGAAGGAAATAATAAAAATTGAAGTCTATAAATGAAATAACAGGAAAACAACTGAGAAAAATCATTAAAACCAAAAACTGGCTATTTAAAAAGATCAACAAAATTGACAAATCTTTAGCTAGAATGACCACAAAGAAAAGATAAAAGAGTCAACATACTAAAATCAGGAATAAAAGAGAGGACATCACCACCAACACTGGAGGTTTATAAGGGATCACAAAGAATAACTGCATCCAACAAATTAAACAACAGATAAAGTAGACAAATTCCTAGAAAGACACAAACTATCAAACTGACTCAGGAAGAAACAGACAAACTGAATAGACCTCTAACAAGTAAAGAAATTGAATTAGTGTTTAAAAAAATAAAAGTAAAAAACAAGCCTCAAAGTCCACTCCCACATGGCTTTATGGGTGAATTCTACCAAAATTTAAAGAAGAATTAATAATAATAATTCTTTAGAAACTCTTCCAAAAACTAGAAGAGGGAACACTTCCCAACTCATTCCACTACGGCCAGTATTACCCTGATACCAAAACTACAACAACATGAAAAAACACAAAAGCAATTAACTATAAATCAATATATCCTGTAAGAACAGAGATGAAAAAATGCTTAACAAAACACTAACACATCAAATCCAGCAACACACAGAAGGAGGACATACCTACAACTAAGGGGCATTTACCCTGGAATGTACACGTGCAGTTGAGATCAGCCTCGCAGGGAGCCGGAAGGTCTGCAGGGCTCCTACACACCCAGCAGCCTGCGCTGCGAACACTGATCTGCATGGAACGTGCAAGGTGTGGATGAGGCTCACCTACCAGACTGCTAAAGCACCTGAATGGTCTTCCTACATTTTTGTCAGAAAGACCAGAAATAGTCGGAAAAAGAGCACCATGTACTCCAATACTAGCAAATGATGGCTTCAAAATATAAGCAAGAACACTCTAAAAGCAAAAAAAGTCACTTGCACAGAGAATTAGTAAGCAGACTTCCAAAATGAAGGGAGATTCAGATGAGAAATCAGTTAACACTAGCTACTGTAAAAGACAAACCTTACAACCTAAGTGCTCAACAATATGAGCTAACTTCTCTCTCAAGAGCCCCCCTGGTATGGAAGGGAGTGCTCTGTTCCACACACTCAGGAAGCCAGCCTGACAGAGCTCTGCCATCCGGCCCTAGGTATGAACACCTAACTGGGAGCAGGGAAGAGAGAGCAGGTGACTGCAGAGAGGCTAGGTCCAGGGCTGGACATGGCACACAGGGCTTCTAGCTCTCCTCCTCTGGCCACAGCCCAGTGACAAGGCCCCACCTAATTGGACAAGAAAGGGAGTCTAGCTGTGTCTCTACGAAGAAAGGGAAATGGGATGGAAGAGCACCTAGCCAGTCTCTGCCACAGCTGAGAGAATAAAAACTCATATTAAATAATACATGAAAAAATCAATGTATCAAGTATACAGAGGTCACCTGATTATTGGGTACAGCAGAACTCTTCTGTTAATGGCAGAATTCATCTTAAAAAGTAAATAACCTTAATAACCTTAACTATATTTGGTTAAAGGAGAAAATACTTTTCTTCTTTGTCATGACTTAAAATGTCCCTTTTTAAAATATGCTGTTTATAAATGAAGAAAAATTAAATCAACAACTTTAGGAAATCTGACTTAGTCCTTGCTAGGGTTTTCACACTAGAAATCATAGCATATATGCTAAGTTTCCAATAAAAATAACATGCTTAGCTTGCTATAAAAATATGGTTCATGTATTCAACAAAGTCAGAAATGTAGGGAGAAAGACAGTACTTAACAGACACCCCTCATCTCAAGGATGAGGAATGGTACCCACTCCACTAGGTCACATAGCTAGAAATTGGCCAAAGGCACACAAAGTCAGGTTTCCTGATATCTGGCAGTTTTCCTACCTGACCGCCCTAGGCTTCCATCCTATTACCTCTTTTCCACCTTCTTACTTTTGAAAGTTCAGGTCATATAAACATCATTTTTTTCTGCAAAGCCCACGTTAACTCATTTAGGCAAAATGGTCTGTTCCTTCCCACATAGTCCTAGCATCTCTTCCCACATTAAAGAACCCACACAGTAGGATCACTGCTGTCAGTGTGCATATCCACTAGTGAACAAGACCACGGACTCTTTGAAGGTTGTTTCCTTTAGCATCTAACCAACAATTAGTGCTGGGTACATAGGAAATGGTAAACAGTAATTGGCTGCATTGATGAATAAAAACAGCAATCACATTTTAAGCAAAATCATCATTTAGTTAATTAGATCTCAATATGAATTTGAATGAAAATATTCACTGGATACAAAGGTTCTGATAGGATTCATTTTAAGCAAATATACAGTAAATATCTTTTTAAACACCAACAATTAAATGTGATTTAGAAATGAATTCAATATATTATTAATCAAAGAGAAATTTTTATAAGCATAAATTTTACTTTTACCTTTTAAAATAAAAATTAAACTGCCAAAATACTAAGTGATCAGCAATGTAAAAAAACAAAAATACCTGCTTTTTCTGAAGTTCTAAGAAACACCATGTCTGATGGAATTCTTTGATTCTGCAAAGAGTAATATAAAATATTAATTATCTATCTGCAGACTTATAAATTAACACAATTCCATTCAGAAGTACAAATAACCAGTAAAAACTAAAATAACGTCATAATTAAAATTTTGCTGAAACATTTATAAATTATATATCAAAAATTAATATTTTAATTCATATTTTAGTTGAACCTCTAAGATCTTCTTTCCCATTAGTGGGCCATGTAAACAACATTCAGTGATGACTTTAAAAAGGCTTCAGTCTGAAAAATGTTAAATGCTGCCATTTCTGTGGCCTCTGCTGTTCCTCCACTCACACACACTACAGCAGTTAGCGCCTGGTGAAAAATTACATCCTCCCTATTAGACTAAATGGCCCTGAAAACTAAGGAACGTGGTCTTCCAATGCCCAACACAAAGCAGAGCTCACCCTAAATATTAACAAAGCACCACCGAATAGATGTGAATGAATGAATGTACGACTGTGCAAACAAGCAAACAAAACCCCACAACTTTGAGGGGATATTCTTTTATGACACAGAAAAGAAAAAAACTCAAAGGGATTGTATCTATAAACACTTTTGCAAATGACTATTCATACATTTAATCCCTTAATCATTATCACTAAGTAAGTCTATCAAATGGGAAAGTTGTATCAACCTAAAGAAAAACTGTATACTTGTAATAAGAATACTTCACATAATTTCATGAATTATGTATGGTTTTTGAGACCTAAGAATTTATCTACACATGATAAAGAAATGGATTGTCAGCTGACAAGTAATAAAAACAAATATAAGTTATAAAGAAAGTTATGTTGTTGGACAGAGCTATGTCTTTCTAGCACTAAAAAGGAGGAGGCTAATTAGGATCTAAAGACCCCTTATGTCAAAGAAGAGATCACAACAGACACAGGAAAATGAGCGGAACAGCCAAAATCAGGAGAATGTTTATAGGAAGACACACACAATTAAGCGCACACAACAGAAAAGGTGTCAGCTAAAACTAAAGAATCAAAGAACTACATAACCATTTGAAACAAAAGAAAACACAGTCAGTGAACCCCCAAAAATCCAAAGTACAAGGATGTAAGCAAATGTAAGAGCAAAAATTTACAGCACAGAAAATAAACACACACAGTAATAGCAAGAAAGTAATTATTTTTCAAAATATTTTAAAATACACTCATTTCAGTAATAAAACCAATAGAATAAAACTATTAATAATAAAAGATGTACAAGACATCTACACAAAAACTACAAAACATTACTGAGAGTATCAGCGTAATATCATCTTAACTACTTTAATTTTCTAGTATTTTTAGTTTGTAGAGTTAATTCTCACATTTGGTCATTCTTGGCCTTTGCATTTCCCTGTATACGTGAAAAACACCTTGTCAATTACCACCCAAAAGAAAACATGCTAAGATTTTTGTTGGGTTTCTGTTGAATATTTGGGCATTGGACATCTTTGTACATTCTAATTTGTGAACAAAATATGTTCTATTTATAGAACTTTAGAATCTGCTTGTCGATTTCAACAAAGAAGTCAGTTGGAATTCTGAAAGGGCTAACACTGAATCTGTATATCAATTTAAGGAGTGCTGCCTTTTAACAATACTAATACTTAAAACTATGAGCATGTGTTTCAACGATATTTGGTAGTTTTTCAAAATACAAATTTTGCACTTCTTCCGTTAAATTTATTCTTAAGGTTTTTTAATGCTATCGTAAATTTTACTGTTTATGTCCTTACTCTGTCTTATTTGCTAAAAAGCACTCATAAACAAACTAGACAATTTCAAAGAATTATTGGATACTTTTCAGTTTTCCTTCCCCTCAAGACACAAGCAGGAACCTTGTGCCATCTTAACATGACACACCATGGTATGGACATACAACAGTTTATCTTAACATGACATACCGTGGTATGGACATACAACAGTTTACCTTAACATGACATACCACATACAATAGTTTATCTCAACATGACACACCATGGTATGGACATACAACAGTTTCATGACCAGTCACCCACTCAGGGTATCTGGACTATTTCTGAATTTTGGCAGTTTTAAATAATACAGACATAAATATTCCTGTTCAGGTTTTTATATCAATATAAACTAACATTTCTCTGTGATAAAGGTCTAGGAATTCAACTGCTGGGTCACAGGACAGTTGCATATTTAGTTTTTTTAAGAAACCATCAAACAATTTTCCAGGGTAACTACACCATTTGATATTTCCACAAGAAATGTATGAATGATGCACTTTCTTCACACTGTTGCTAACTAACATTTGGTGTTGTCTCTGTTTTTCATTTTAGCCATTCTGATACATGTGTACTGACATTTCATTGTGTTTTAATTTGCATTTCTTGATAACTAAGGATGTTGAATTTCTTTTCATGTGCTTATTTTCTATCTGTAAGTTTTTGGAAAAATGTCTCTTTAAATCTTTTGCCCATTTTCTAATTTGAATTTTTTATTTCTACTGTTGAGTTTTGAGTTTTTATATATTCCAGACACAAATCTTTGTCAGATACATGGTTTGCAATATTTTCTCCCAATCTGTGGCCTGTTTTTCAACATAGTCACATGTTTTTCACAAAGCACATGTTTTTCCAGTTTAATGAGATGTAACATTTTTTTCTCTTCTGCACTGCTGTTTTGCTGAAGTCTAAGAAATAGTTTCTTACCCTTAGATTCTGAATATTTTCTATTTTATTTCTAAGTCTTAGAGTTTTACATTAAGTCCATGATCATTTTTTCTTAACCAATGGATGCTCAAGCCCCATTTTCTTTCTGTAACAGCTCTGGCACCTTCGTCTATTTCTGGGTTCCCATGTTTCACAGATCTTCTTATCCATTCTCCTTCTACACTGCACTAACGTAGCTATGTAATATGCCTTAGCATCAAGGAAAGAATTCCTTATTTTACCTACTCCAGAGCCTGTACCTTTTCAAATTAGTATGAGAATAAGACTATGTTTTTGAAAAAAACACTTGCTGGGATTTTGATAGGAACTATATTAAACCTATAGATTAATTTCTGAAAAACTGTGGAATGTCCCAATCCCAGAACACAGCATGTCTACTTACTTAGGTCATCGTGATTACTTTATTCAACACATTGTGGATTGTAGCTTACCTGAGAGTAAGCTCACGTTTTCATAGCTGTTACTGTAAGAGTACTACATTTTTGTTTCCACATGTTCAATGTTATGATACAGAAATAGGGTTAGTATTTGTGTGTTGACCTTGTAACTTGCCACCCTGCTGAACCTATTCCAGGATTTTTTTTATAGATCCCTTCAGGATTTTCTATATATACAAGCATGTCATTGGCATATCAAGACATTTTTATTTCTTCTTTTCCAGTCTGTATGTCTTTTATTTCCTTTTCCTGCCTTACAGACCAGAACTGCCAGTTGAATAAGAGCAGTACAAGCAAACATCTCAGAAAGGAGGCATTCAGTCTTACACCATTAAATACAATGTTAGTTATAGGTTTTTTGTAGATTTTTTTTAACAAGATATGGGTATTCCCCTCTACTCCAACCTGCTGAGATTTTTGTCATGAATAGGTGTTGGATTTAATCAAATGCTCTTCCCTGCAATAACTGCTATGCTTGTATGGTTTTCTTCATTCTCCTGACAGGGTAGATTACATGGGCTCATTGTAGAACACTGAGGCAGACTCATATTCCACGATAACCTCCCTGTGGTCAGGATATATAATTCTCCTTATATATTGTTGATTCCAATTTCCAAATTTTTAAAAAGATTTTTGTGTATATTTTCATGAGGAATACTGGTCTGTAGCTTTATTACATTGTCTTTGGCTGGTATTGGGATAAAGATAATCCTGGCCTCATAAAATGAGCTGGATAGTATTCCATCCTCAACTGTTTTCTAGAAATGACTGTGGAACAGTAATGTTAAGTCCTCTTTAAAGGTTTCAAGGAATTCACCAAGGAAAATGTCTGGACCCTGATACTTCCTTCTCAGAGCTTTTAAATTACTAATTCAACTTCTTTACTGGTTATAAGACTATGCACAGTTTATTTCATTTTGACTGAGTTTTTATGGTTTATGCTTTCAGAAGTGAGTGGTCCCTTTCATCTATCCATGCATATATTTATGACGGCAAAGCTGTTGGTATATTTTGTAATTACCTTTTTGATGGCTGCAGGATCTACAGTGAAAACCCCTATTTCACTACTGATATTGGTGACTTGTAACTTCACTTTTTATTTTGATCTGTCTTGCTAAAGGTTTATCAATTTTATTAATTTATTTAGATGAACCAGCTTCTACTTTCATAGATTTTCTGTCATTCCTATTTTCAGTTTCATTGTCTTCTACTCTGTATTACTTCTTTCTGTCTGCATGTCTTGGTTTAATTTTGCTCGTTTTCTCCTGATGTCTTGAGGTCGGAGTTCAGGTGACTGACCCGAGAGCTTCGCCAGCTCCTCTGCAGGCAGTTAGTGCTACAGAATCCCTCTTCGCACCATCCCTACACGTGCCACTTATTTCAGAATGTCGTATTTTGGCCAGGCGTGGTGGCTCACACCTGTAATCCTAGCACTCTGGGAGGCCGAGGCAGGCGGATCGCTCAAGGTCAGGAGTTCGAAACCAGCCTGAGCAAGAGCGAGACCCCGTCTCTACTATAAACAGAAAGAGATTAATTGGCCAACTAATATATATATATACAAAAAATTAGCCAGGCATGGTGGCGCATGCCTGTAGTCCCAGCTACTCGGGAGGCTGAGGCACAAGGATCCCTTGAGCCCAGGAGTTTGAGATTGCTGTGAGCTAGGCTGACGCCACGGCACAGAGTGAGACTGTCTCAAAAAAAAAAAAAAAAAAAAAAAAAAGAATGTCGTATTTTCATTTTCATTCAGTTGTATGTATTTTTTGTTTCCTTGAGAAGTACTATTTACCCCATAAATTAATTCAAGGCGTGTTGTTTACATTCCATGTGTTTTAGAGTTTTCCTGTTGTTTTTCTTTTACTGATTACTAATTTGATTCTATCATGGTGAGAGAATACACTGTATGATTTCGATTCTTTTTAATTTGTCGCGGTTTCACAGCACAGTATATGGCTTATCTTGGTGAATGCTCCATGGGCACTGGAGTAAATGTGTTCTCTCCTCCTGACAGGGAGAGTGGTCTGTGCATGTCAGCCAGGTCCTGCTGGCTCATCCTGTGCAGATCTTCTGGATCACTGCTGAGTTTCTGTCGGTTTCTTCTATCCAATTTGACAGGATGACCTTGAACCACCTACCCGTGAGTTTGTCTACTTATTTCAGCTCCAATAGTTTTGATTCACATATTTCATGGATCTGTTGTTTAATGGGTACAAATTTAGCATCTTTCATCTTCCTGATGGATTAATCCCATTACTGTTACATAACATTCCTTTTTCTCTAGTAACTTTCTTCACTCTGAAGTACACTTTCTTTGATGTTAATATAGCTCCTCCTACTTCTGTTTGATTAATTTTATGTGGTCCCTTTTTTCCCACGTTTACTTTCATCCTATCATGTCACTGAATTTGAAGTGACTTTCTTGCAAACAACATAAGGGTTGGGTCCCATTTTCTTTTAACCCACTCTGTCTGTCTCATGCTTGGTGCATTTTGACAGTTCAAAATAAAGGTAATTACTGATATGTTAGAATTAAGTCTGCACTGCATGTTCTGTCACTCAGGCTTTAGCAGTGAGTGGTGAGTTCAAAGCTCACTGCAGCCTGAACTCCTGGACTTAAGCGATCTGCCCACCTTGGCCTCTCAAGTCACTTGAGATAACAGGCATGAGCCACGAAGCTCGGTGCCCCCTCCCACCATCTGCATTTTATTATTTGCTTTCAGTTAGTTTCCTCTGATATTCTGTTTCTAATTTTTTCCTTCTTATGTATTACTTAAGCCCTTCCATCTTAGTAGTTTATTTATAGCATCTCAGAGAGTATCTCTTTACACATTTTTTATGGTTTCTCTGGATATTACAATATGCACTGTAATACTTATTTATTAAGCTGTATTACCTCAGAAAAGTAAGATAAAATGTTCTTTCTCCCCAGTTCCAGAAAAAGCAGACATTCTCCTCTTCTTGAAGCTAGTTCTGACTAAGAGGTGAAGGAGGATCCACAACAGTGTCCGCCTTGGTCCTGCTCTGATTTCGCCCCAGGGAGCCTTTCCAGACAGACTTCAAACACTGTGCTAGACCTGTAAAACCTGCAACTTCCAAAATCTCTACTTCTAAGCTGTGACCTTACTTGATCTGTTGCTCGATTAATAATACTTAAATTTACATGTTTGTACAAAAATTTAGATACTTCTAAGGTTTCCTTGGTAAGCCAGGGGACAAACTTTGGCATTTTCTTTCTTTTCCCTATATGCATAAAGGTATGACAAAACCTTGGCTTGGAATGGAGTTTTATTAAAACAAATAGTTTGACAGTCTTTATTTATATTAAACTCTAGAATACTCTAGAACATTGTAATATTCTACAACTATCATCTATTTATACAGTTGCTATCACATAATGCTTATTTTTCAATATAAGATCGCTTCTTTGGAAAAAAATGAAAAACAATGAACTCCTCTGAATGGTTTCTTTAAAAAATAAAGTCCTTAATATTGGGCCTAAATTAGAAAAGTTGAAGCTCATCGTTTTCCACCTGAGACACACATACGGAAAACACACTAAATATGTACAAGTTAATTAACTAAAGGAATTGGATCTAAGGATTTTGTTGCTGAATGCTAGTATCAGAGCAACATGAAATATAATGAATATAATTTTTAAAACATACACATAAGGAAGTAAACTTCATGATTAATGATTGATAACAGGATTCATTTATTCAGTATTTGAGAACCGGGATGTGTCAGACCATCAATTTAAAAATAAATAAATATAAATGCCCAACAACTTTGTGATTGTGCAAAAAATATATATAAGTATTAAATTAAATTTTAAAATTTTGAAAAAAATAAAAAATAAAAAAAATAAATAAATAAATGAGTAAAAACCCTAAACAAATTAACAAGAATTAACAAACAAAAAAGGAAATTTACATCGCTCCCTTACTTAAAAATTCTTATATAGACTTATCAAATCAGGAAGAAAGTAAAATATTTAAATAGTTAACATAAAATGAGGCTTTTCCATATTCCTAGCATGACATGGAAAACACTTCAAGTAACCTAATCTGTCTTAAAAACTATCAACTCTACGTACATCAAATCTTACACAAGGATGTTAGGATTTAACATATGTGTTTCAAACAATTTCCTTCAAATTCAGAAGTTAATTGCAGTCAGGCTAAATGTCAATAACTGTTATATATAGTTCTTGAATATATCGAAAATTAAAAATGCATCAACCTTTTCCACTATGATGAGGTCTCCAACTTGAATGTCTGAACTCTTAACTTGCACTTGACCTTTAAAAAAAAGAAGAAGTATAATCAACTTAAGGAAACAACAGCACAGAAAGAGTTCAACTTTCAACTGGAAAATAATTACTTCAGAAATAACTTTAGGGGAAAAAAAACACTTCAGAAATTTCTCTATACTTACACTTTCAAAATAAATTCCAGATAGACAGTCACTAATAATTAACTTCTTAGTAAACTTCTAAGCACAAATAATTAACTATCCCCCAGTAAAAACACAAAGCAAGAATTTCTTCATGGTAATTTAAGAGATTCCAGTGGGAATGTTCTTCCCATACTTTGTCATTGTTTCAGTTCTCAGGTTACCAATGATCAGAAATATTACTGAATCATTTGAGGGTTAAGACTTATTTAATAATAACATGGAGATATAAAAATCCTTAAATTAATATCACGAATGCCATTAATTAGCATATAAATGACAGAAAGAAGAAATAAAGCAAATGATACATAAAGCCACCCTCTACTAGTAGCTTTATCAACATAGAACAGGATTGAAAACTGGCATCTAAAGCTTTACTGCTAAAAATGATTCTTCCACATGAGGAAATATTAAATTATCTACACAACATCTAATGTGGAATGGTCATCTGTGGAGTTTTCATATATAATATACTTAAATATCTACAAAATATTAATATAACGAATATGATACAGAGTAGACAAATGTTAGATAATCTGAGATATCCTCAGGAGGTGACAAAACGTGGGCAAATTCACCTGCTCCCTCTTCTCTGCGCTCCCCCAGACTGGCAACAGCCTCTGTGACTACTATTCTAACACAGGAAAATGTCCACTCCTTTTACATTCATGTTCTTCCGATGGCTAATAGGCCACAGGTGAGTTCATACTGCTTCTTGAAAGCAAACATTATCAGTCATTACACTAACTTTTAGTTTTTTGTGAAAGGCAATGAACTGGACAGATAGGGAGGGAGGGTGGGGTCCAGGTGTAGACAGACAGGGAGGGCCTGGCTGTGGGTGGGGTTCAGGAGTGGACAGACAGGGAGGGGCCCGACTGCAGGCTAAGGGGCACCTAGGCCACAGGAGCAAAAACTGAAACCAAACAGTCTGGGGAGAACACAGACCCTCAAAAAAGAGCCACATCCCAGTGAAAGCAAGAGGGCAGCACTTTCAGAGATGAAGGCATCTGAATCTGGAGGCACAATGAACAAGGGCAAGGATGAGAATAAAGACATAGATCTTGTGGGGACTAACATGCAGAGCCTAAAGGACAACTTGAAGCCTGCAGCATGAGCACAGGCACACACACACACACAAAAGCCACGGTAAGGTAGTCCGATGCACACAGAGGGCTGGAGTGTGCTCAGGCTGAGACTGACCTGTCTGGGGAGGCAGATGGTTATCTGCATTGTTGGATTCTACCTGAACTGGGTGAAGGGAGGGCAAGGCACAGGCTAACCAAACCTGTGCTCAGGGCTGCTCCATGACCACCGTGGAGGAAGTCAAGGAGGTCCTGGGAGGCAGGACTGACTCCGAGCACACGGCCCCTCTGCCCTCATACATGCTGGGGATAAAAGTGTGAGCAGGACTGACAAAGCCCACCTGCATGGAACTTATATTCTAGTGAGACTAAGGAAGCCAGAGTGAAATAAAATACATCGACAAATGAACTGTATAAATTACAGTCTAGGAAATAAGAAAAAAAGAAATACTAAAGTCGAGGGGAAAGATCATATAAAGCATCTTGCAGAAAGTACCAAATTTTTGCTCTTAATTTGTTAGCAATAACTAAAATAATTTAAGATACTCAGGTTATACACAACCAATTCTTTTTCTTAATTCTATCAGTAAAACATGAATTAGACAGCTTTAGAAAGAATATTGAAATAACGAATTATGTCATGATGAAAAAACATTTAAAGATAAAACCCTGAATGTTATTCACTAAATTATATTTAGCCAAACACTTCCCCTCTAAAATTATCTCACTAACTAAAATAGTCTTTACCATCTGTGTAATTACCAGTAGAGAGTCCAGAAGCTGCCAGAAGTAGCTATCCACACAGACTTTACAGCCCACCAATGCACACATCTCTTGCCTAAAGCAACATGCAGAACTAAACACTGAAATAAGTATCAACAGTAATTCACTGCATCCACAAGATAAAGAATTTTCAGGAAATTACAATGGTTTGAAAAATCTAGTAAGTATCTCATATGTGAAATATTTTATGAACTACCAGACACAAATGAAAAGTATATAGTGTTACCAGAGCAAGGGCACACTTCAAAGTTTTGGTTAGGTTCTCTGTTTGATAAGGGAAGTTTCTAACCTTTGTTTTCTGTAGTTAGATATCCTTCTTAAATTTCTACCAAAGGTTAACACACAAAATACTATTAATAGGAGTGGTCATAATTAACAGCATCTAAGACTCTCAGTCACTCAAATAGGAGACGTACAAAGACGCAGTCTCGTCTCAGAGGCCTGCACACGTGCACAAACCCAGCATGCTACGTGGACCTGCTTGGTCACGTGGGTGACGAGAAGGTCAGAAGAGAAATCGTCTCGAAGCTTGCCATCATGACATAAAGGCGAACCATTTCTACACCATATTGTTACGTGTGATGAAAAATGGATTGATTCTTTCTGACAATCCCAAGTATCTGGAACAATGGTTGCATAAAGATGAAGTGCTGAAACACAGTCCAAAACCCAATATTCATCACAAAAAGCTACTGGTGTCTGTTTGGTGGTCCAGCACTGGTATCCTCCACTACAGCTTCATGCAACCTGGTCAATCAATTACAGTGGATGTCTACTGCAACTAACTGGAAGAAATGATGAGGATGCTTGCGATTGCTCAATAGAGATAGGCCAATTCTCTTGCAAGACAACATGTCACAAAAAACAATACTGCTCAAACTACAGAAGCTGGACTTAAAAACTGTCACCCACTGTATTCACTAGACCTTACACTAACTACCACTTCTTCCAGGCTTTGATCCACTTCTTGAAAGGAAAAATATTCAATTTTCAACAAGCTGTGGAAAACACCATTCACGATTTCATCGCTACTCTCTCTCTAGGCTTCTTCGTTGCTGGCATAAACAAGCTACCATTAAGATAGCAAAACTGTGTCAACAGTTTAGGCATACTTAGATTAATTGTACTGCTTGTCTGAGATATAATAAACAAAACTTTTGATTCACAATCAGACATTTCATATTTAATAACCTAACATAAAAACTGAAAATACAGAAATATTATTAAGAAAACAGAATGTTTGCTTATACTGGGATTGAATAAAGCTTCTAAGATTAAAGTAAAAACACAAAGGAAAAGATAAGATTTGAATTATATAAAAATTATAAATTTCTCTACATATAAGAAAAATAAGTCAAACAAGCTAATAATATTTGCCACATGTGACAAAGGCAAATTCCTTTTAGTAGAAAAATTATAATAAGGTTAAAATAGATAAACAAAAGCTACTAAGTAAACAACTTATAAAAGATCACAAATGAACAATAATTTTTTAAAGTAGCAAGCAAAACAGAATGCAATAGCATTTTTTCACCAAACTAGTAGATTAAAAAATAATATATTTGGACAAGTAGGCAGTGATGTTAGAAGAAGAATATTGTGGGCACACTGCAAATGCAAATGGGCACAACCCTATGGAACTGCTATCTGATCACCCAGACCAGGCTTAGAACTTTATATACAGCCTGGATATTCTTCATTTATTTAAGCACCCAATTTACTGAGTGCTTACCATGTGCCAATCACTCACTCATTCCTGGAGAAATGAGGGCTCCATTCTCACAAAACTGAGAGAATGAGAATTAAAGGTCATCCCCAGAGGGAGAGTCAGGGTACTCTGGGACACACACGTGGGCTGTAGCACGAGCAACATCTGGGGAAACTAAGGAAGATCTTTTTGAGAAAGTAATCCTTTCATAAAACCTGAAGTTCTGAGTGCAGGACAGGACAAGAACACACCAGACACAGCAACCGTGCTGGAAAAGTCCCTTGTGGGGAGAAAGCACAGCATATTCAAGGAAATGAAGAAAAATTAGTGTTACTACACTTTGGAAGCCAAAAGAGACGGTGGAGAAGAGGGCCAGTGGCAGACCACCACGGGGAGCTGAATCATACGGGATTTAAGGCTTTATCGTAAGGGCTATCAAAAGAAACCAAAGGATCTGAAGCCATAAAATGACAATCAGATTGCTTTTTGAAGGAACTTTTGCGGCTACAGCAAAGGAAGGATGGAGTGGGCCAGCAGCGAGGAGGCTGTTTCTCACTCGGGCAAGAGAAGAGACGCTGGAGAGGAAACTGGAGCCAGGTCCAGGAACTGCACAGCTGCTGGGAAAGCTCTGTCAGCAGAGGAAGGCGTGGGCTGGACGAGGGCAGGGGAGACAGGACCCCAGAGTCCTCAGGGCGAGAGAGAAGCAGGGAAAGGCTGCAGTCCACTTCCACTGACAGAGCCGGGGACACGAGGGTGCTTACCCACAGCTCCTGCAGAGCCATGGGGTCCGACTGCAGAAGACTGAATGATGACATGTTCCTATGATGCAGTGCTATACAACCACATACAAGACATGACAGACTTAATGCCACAGAAATGTTCATAATGTTAAGTTAAAAAAGGTATATACTACAACAGTATGAACATTTTTCAAATAGCAAGTACACACACATGTACATCTAAAGAAAAAAGTAACAATCATGTTTACAAACCATGAAAAATCTCCTAGTATCATTGAAATAAACAAAAAAGAATAAAAGAATTATAGTTTTACCTTCTGCAGTTTAATATTATATAGTAAGAAATGAATGATATTCTACTTATAAAAATTACATACAGAACCACTATATACCAAAAAAAAGGTAACATTACCATATCACACAAATGGTGAATTTTGATATTTCAACTCATTTCTTAATAGACTAAACTTTCAAAGAGACAAAAGAAATCAGGTGCAGGGGGTGCATGCCTGTAAGTAATTCCAATACTTCAGGAGGCCAAGGCGGGGAGGACTGCTTGAGGGCAGAAGTTCAAGACCAGCCTGGTTACATAGCAAGACCCCCATCTCTACAAAAAAAAACCTTTAAAAATTAGCTGGTCATGATGATATGCTCTTGTAGTCCCAGCTAGTTGGGAGGCTGAGGCAGGAGGATTGTTTGAGCACAAAAGTTTAAGGCTGCAGTGAGCTATGATCATGCCATTGCAATCCAGCATGGGTAACAGAGTAAGACCCTGTCTAAGGAAAAAAGAGAGAGAGAGAGAGAGAGAATATCATCATAAAAATATAATGTAGGAGGATTAAAATTGAATAACATTTTGGTGGAAAAATTTTTTTTACGTGACTTGATATAATAAATGGTATTTAGATATATATAATGGTACACTTATTAATAAGCATCACATGGTCATTATTATTGATAAACTTGACAGAAAGTTTCCATCACTAAAACTCTTCTCCATGTTTTCTATGAAAGACATAGGAGATGATGAATGAACTTCTTAGAGTTCTAAAATTTCTATAGTTTCTAAAGAGATAATCTGGCTTAAAGTAAATTTTTTTCTATTTCTTAGTTTCTTATCTGTTATAAGAAGATACATTGTGTTAGCCAATTAGCATTTGTGAAGGTATATTTCATATGTTCTAGGCCCTAATGTCCAAAGAATAAAATTTTTCTAAAAAGTCAAATATATGAGTATCCTAAAGAAATGAATTCATACACATCCTGTAAGGGTGACCTGAGAAGAAATATTGGTATTGAATTTATACATCCACTTGAATACATGTATTTGTACATTATGTGTGTGTGTGTATATATTCACTGGAGTATACACATCTACTTCTGGGTATACATGTCCACTCCTGAGTATATATATATATCCACACCTGGTACACATATCCACTTTTGAGTACAGATGTGCACTCCTGACTATATATATACCTACGTTGGTCCAGCCACAGGAAACTAAAAAAATGAGGTAATAAATGTAAAGTTTTGTGAAATATTATTATATAGCAGAAATACAATAATGTATACCGAACACTCCTAAATGAAATATCAGGATGGATTCTTTTCAAATGCTGCTAAGATCTCAGACTACAGATAATAAAGATGACTATATGCACCTCAAGAAAAGACACTGTATGGGATGAAAATGTGAAAAGCTGAGTATGTTTACAGAACTACTTTGATTGCATAAAGTAAAATATACATAAATGATTTCTAAATATCCACTGTTCTATCTTATCTAAACTGTCACAAAAATGAATGAATAAGATGATATGACATAAACAAAATAAGCAAAGTCATCAGTGTTTGTCTGACTACTGGATTGCAGCAATCGACTCTATTTACTTCAAGTGTATCAGCTCCTAAGCAATTTTTGATGAAAAAAATTCAGCTAAAACTTGGGTATAGTATTGGGGGAAAAAACTATCTTAAGATATGACTGTCACAAAAGGAAATCCTTTTTGCCAAAGAGAAAACACCATAACCCATAAAACCCATCGCATTTCATTATTTGCTCTGGAAGAATATATGACATAGGCACACTACGTAAAAGGCAGTCAAGAGGAATTCAAAACCCTTCTGACTTGCTTTTTCAAGGAATAATTCATACTCAAAAATAGAATAAAATTCACTAAAATATCACAAAATTTCATTGAGACAAGTATTTTTAAATGTAAATAAAAGGCTAAGAATTTTAACAAGGCAGCAGGGTACAGTGGCTCAAGCCTGTAATCCCAGCACTCGGGCAGGCGAAAGTTCTACCAAGGAACCACACCACCTGTGCTCCAATCCCAGCACTGTGGAAGGCAGAGCCTGCAGGATCGCTTTAGGCCAGGAATTCAAGACCTATCTCTATAAAAAAAACAAAAACAAATTCAGGCATGGTGGCACGTGCTAGTAGTCCCAGCTACTTGGGAGCCTGAGCAGGAGGATCACTTGAGCCCAGGAGTTCGAAGTTGCAGTAAGCTGCGATCATGACACTGCACTCCAGCCTGGGGGACAGAGGAAGAACCTATGTCTTAAAAAGTAAAATTAAAGAAAAAAAATTTTAACAAGGTATAAAGTGTACAACAAATACAAGGTACTGATAAACATGAATCAAAGATGCTAAAGTACACAGGAATAAAGATCATCTCTTTTTACTCTATATAGGTAATATGCTTTTTTGGCAAGTAAACTAAAATACAAGAAACATGTAAATATGTAAATACTTTCTCTCTCACATTCACACACATACAAAATAAGGTTCAAAGACAACAGACTTCTGTCTCGCTCATGGGTCTATATACTTGAAAATACATTAAACAGAATGCCAGAACTAGTCTAAGAAACAGTTAAGACATATTATAAAAACAATCATCATAAGCTGTATAAAGGAATCATAGCACAGAATTCAAGTTCCATTTATAAATAGGTAGCTAAAAAAAAACAAAAACAAACAAGAACGCTCTAAATTTATCCCATCTGCCTAGAACACTACCTGACTCTTACAATGCAAAGTTCATTAGCTGGGCGTGCCCAGGAGTTCCAGGTTACAGTGAGCTGTGAATGCACCACTGCACTCCAGCCTGGATGTCAGAGTAAGACTCTGTCTCAAACAAAAATAAATAAAAAATTTTAAAAAAATAAATAAAAATCAAAGTTCAGAACTAATTCATGTTTCAATCTCATGAGGCCATCACAGTGCTTAGCACATAGTAGGTGCTTTGTAAATACTTGATTATAATTATCTAGAGGGCTAGAAGCAAGCCATGAAGCAACATGACACATCCAGAACAACACCAGATTAGAAGTCAGATAGATCTGGGCCGAAGCATCAGCTCTACCAAAAACCATGTGACTTAGGGCAAGTGATTCAGCACTGGCCCCGGGTATGCTTCCAGCCTATAACTTGGAGATGGTGCCATCTCTACCCTCGAAGACTGTGGCTGTGACAATGAGTATCATGAATGTTACCTGACACACAAGAAGTCAAAGTGGCTACAATGATCATCATAGACAAATAAAATTTCCACTTCTTATATCACCAGCAATGATGGATTTTTTTTACAAAAGGATAAATTTCCATTTGCATTTAAAATAAACTGACTGAAAATTATTTTTCAAGTTCTTTGAGTCAAGTGTCATATAAACACAAAAGACACAACAGAAGTACTACCCCCTCAACATTTTATTCCATTTTTAGGTGAAACCAGCATAACATAAAATTAGCCATTTTAAAGTGAACAATTTAGTGGCATTTACCACATTCGCAGTGTCAAGTTCCAAAGCACCTTCATCATCACAAACCAAGCCCTGCAGACAAGCGGGTTCTCCCCATGCCCTTCCCCCACCAGGCCTCAGCCACCAATCTCCCACTGACTCACCTACTCTGGATATTTCCACACAAGAAGCCAGACAATACGTAACCTTTGCATCTGGCTTCCTTCACACAGCACACAGTTCTGCAGGCTCATCCGTGCTGCAGCACATATCAACCCTCTAATGACTTTTAGAAATAAAGTACTGATAAACGCTACTACAGCATGAACTCTGACAACATGCCAAGTAAAGCAGCTGGTGACAAAAGACCACCTATTGCATGATGCCATTTAAACAAAATGTCCAGGGTAGGCAAAACCAGAGACAGGGAGTAAACCAGGGGTGGCCTGGGCCTGGGGTGAGGGAGGGAGGGGGCAACAATCATGGTTTCTTCTGGGAACATTAAAAATGTTCTGAATTTAGATGATGGTGATGGTTAGCAATTATATGAAATGCCAAAAACACTGAATTGTATGCTTTAGGAGGATGAATTTTATGTTTTGTGAAACACGGCCCAATAAGCTGTTAAAAATAATTTTTGAAGGGATTATTTCAAGTAAATAATCATTGTACATATTCATTTACACACAGAATATACAAAATTCACTCTACACTTTATTTTCAAATAGGCGCTGGGATTATCATGAATAACCATGTAGTCTTTCAGTATCACCCTCGGCAAATGCCAAGATCTCAGTCACTTTTTACTGTCACGTGCCTGTTTGCAATGGTCTCCCCCTTCTCTGCCCAATATGTTGCTGCTTTTCCACAGTATGGACTAGAAAGTCATATGAACAAGCTTTTGAAGAACATAAATCAACCAAAGTTAAAGCTTGGAACGAAGGGTACGTTCATCAGTTGCCAGACTGGGTCACGACAGCTGTTTCTCGTGCTCAAAGGGCTTTTTTACTGAAGTACACTGTAACACCACAGTATAGACAGTTGATCTTTACAAATGTGTTTAAAAAATAATATGAAGATAGACTTTAGATAAAGTGATACTATGCTTCACAGAAAATGTACATACACCAGTTAGGTTTCACAGTCTCAGCACTGTAATAGAACACATTGTACAATGCATGCTTGCTTGTGTGTATGCATGTATATAAAAATATAAATATAAATGTATTACATACATATATACACATATATCAAGTATTAGAGAATGAAAAAAATGAATAAAAATCTACCCTGAAATTGCATGCATTATATAAGAAAATTAATGAGATACAATATATGATTATATAATACTATTGTCATTAACACAATTAAGACATGTTTTCTTTCATGTGTAATGCTAACTCTAAAATGATGGTCACAATAAGCAAATGCTAAACAGGATCAGAAGCGTCTTGCTGACCTCTTACTGTGAGCTTGCTATACAGCTGTGCATTTACTTCCTTGTCTCGCTGAAAACGCCGAAATTCATCAACAGCTTCCCGAATGATGATAACAGCCAAGACAAATCCCTATAAAACAAGAAATTTTAGAAAACTAAATTTTAACAAAAAAGAAAAATTTCTTTATTATTCAGTTTTATTTTTTTCCTTCAATTTATATTACTCACTAAAACACAGTAAGTGAACAAACACAAAAACAATAAAATGTTACAAAAGGAATACAATTCAACTGTAAAAGATTTACAACTCTTAGTATACCCAAGAAAAAATTTTTAAATTCACATCATAATAAGAACTTCAAGCTAAAACTCAGAAAATACTCAGTAACCCAAAAATGAAATTAACAATTTTCAACAAACTCATGAATTATACTTAGAATACTTAGGCATTCAACATCAAATTAGCAATGACTTACATAAAAATCTTAGTTTCTGCACTTAAGTTTTTCTAACAGAATAAAAGCCATGTAGGAACACAAAATAATTCCCAGATACGATATCTGTACCCATCAATTTTCCTACACAGCCCATTATTAGGAATTGCATGGAGGAGCATGGCTAGTGTCTTCACCTCACAAAATTCTGAATAAACTTGATACTAAGTAAACTTTTATATACTTGTAATCTACTGTGAAGCCCGTCACACCACTACCATGTGGCTAGCGTCCACCTTTTTAAAAGGCTGCATAGGTATTTTCTGACACGTTGTAGGAATATCCTTCCAGTCACTCTCCCCATGATTAAATAAAAAACCTCTCAACAGGCTTCCTGTTGAAGACCTTGCTTCAGTCTACATCCTAAATAACAGAACACTGGATGAGTTTCCATCGAAAGGATGATGATCATTTTTATTCCAGCTTTTTTCCTTCTGTATAACCAGTAGGCTAAATTAAGTGTGCTGCTGGAGAATATGTTTCTTGTATTTACTGAAACGTTATTTTTCCCAAACACACTATTTTAAAAGCCCTTAAAAGGGCATGATTTAGACGTGTGCCCCTCTAGCCTCCCACATGGCGCCTGCCCCACAGCCTGTGCTCAGCCCTGCTGCGTCTCTCTTGAGCAGTCCTCTGGCCCCCTCACCATAAACGTCACCAGGTCACTCTACGGCCAGTGCTGTGCCTCCCTGGGCCCTCCGCCCAGCCCTCCCTGAGCACACAGGGCTCATACCCTGTGTCTTTCACAGCTCCAGTGAAACTACTCTCAAGTAAGGTGGGACAACTAGACACACCCAACCTCCGTGCATGGCCACTACTCACCAGCCCCTCTTCCTTCCCAATTTTCCACCCCTTGGTGTCCTGGACGCCACATGCCCTGGCTGCCCTTCTGCACTTATTGCCTGAGGGATCCTCCAGGCATCCACTGCCATCACTGTTAATAATGCTGCCCTCCAACTGCTCACGGTGCTTCTCACGCCTCTCCAGGTCACCCTACACCACCACACTGAGTCACCAACCCCAGCCTCACTGCCCTCAAAATCCTCCTCCAGGGGTGGGAAACCTTCCCCATCATTTATGCTCCTTTCACTGAAATACAACGCTCTCCTCAAGCCCCCAGCCCTAAGGAAGGACAGATCTCTAGTCTTGCCTCCCACTCGCCACTGCTGTACCCTACATACCCAGGACCTGCTGGCAATCTCCCAAACACCATGATGTCTCTCATCTGACCTTTGAGGTTATTAGAAACATTGTCTCAAGAAGCATCCTAAAGCCAACTCTTGGACACACTAAGAAAGAAGTTGTGACAAATTGGCGATGTGCCCCACTCCACAAAGATGGCAAGTGTGGGCCAGGCATGGTGGCTCATGCCTATAATCCTAGCACTCTGGGAGGCTGAGGTGAGTGGATCATTTGAGCTCAGGAGTTCAAGACCAGCCTGAGCAAGAACGAGACTCCGTCTCTACTAAAAAAAAAAATAGAAAGAAATTAGCTAGACAACATATATATATATGAAAAATAGCCAGGCATGGTGATGGTGGCACATGCCTGTAGTCCTAGCTACTTGGGAGGCTGAGGCAGGAGAATCACGTGGGCCCAGGAGTCTGAGGTTGCTGTGAGCTAGGATGATGCCACAGCACCCTAGCCCAGGCAAAAGAGTGAGACTCTGTCTCAAAAAAAAAAAAAAAAAAAAAGATGGTGGCAGGTGTGGTACTGCCTGTACCACGGATTTGCTACAGTTCCCACTGAAGATTGCTGCTGGCAGAATAAGACCCTCACCTAGGTCCTTTGCAGTGGGAGTGGAGGGCAGAGAGCTCAGGCAGTGATGCACAGCCCACTTCCTAACAGGGGGTGGTTGGGGCCACAGCTTCAGCACATACTATATTTGTTTTTTTCAATAATGGCTTTGTTGGTACATAATTCACATGACACAAAATTAATGATTTTCAAGTCTACAATTCATTGTTTTTAGCACATTCACAGAGTTATGAAACCACCACCAACCATCTAATTTTAGAATACTTTCTTCAGCCCAAAAAGAAACCCTGTACCCATTGGCAGTCACCTCCCATTCCCTCCTTCTCCCAGCCCTTGGCAACAACTAATCTACTTTCAATCTCTATGAATTGGCCTGTTCTGGGTGATATGTTAACTCTATGTTTAGTGTTTTCAGGAACTGCCAAACTGTTCTCCAAAGTGGCTGTACCACTTTACAGTCCCATCGGCAAGGAACAAGGGCTCCAATTGCTCCTCATCCTCACCAATGCCTGTTACCACCTGCCCTTTTGACTGCAGACATTCCAGTGTGTGTGAAGTAGTGTCCTCCAGTTTTAATTTTCATTCTCTAATGACTAATGATGCTAAGCAACTTTTCATGTGCTTATTGGCCATCTGTGTATCTTCTTTGGCTAAATATTTCGATCCTTCACCCACTTTTTATCTGTTATGTCTTTTTGCTGTTGAGTTGTTAGAGCTGTTTATTTTTTCTGAATACAAACATCATGTCAGGTATGTGATTTACAAATATGATCTTACAAATATTTTCTCCCATTCTGAGTTATCTTTTTACTTTCTTGATGGTGTCCTCTGATGCAAAAAAGTTAATTTTAGTAAAATCCAATTTACCTATTTTCTCTCTTATCATTTGGGCTTTTGGTGTCCAAGGTCACAAAGATTTACCTCTTTGTTTTCTTCTAGGAGTCTTACGTAGCTTTAGCTCTTACATTTAGGTCTATGATCCACTTTAAGTTACATTTTGTGTACAATGTGAGGTAAAGGTCTGACTTCGTTCATTTGCATGTGGATCTCCAATTGTCCCAGCATCATTTCTTGAAAGACTACTCTTTCTCCATCGCATTGTCTTGGTATGCTTGTTGAAAATCAATTTGATCTGTATAACCTATCTGTATGTCAATGCCACACCGTCTTGATTCTGTAGTTCATAGTTTAAGTTTTGAAATGGGGAAGTGTGAGTCTTTCAACCTTGGTCTACTTTTTCTATGATGTTTTGGCTATTGTGTCCCTTGCATTTTCCTATCAATTTTAGGATAAGCTTGTCACCTTCTGTTAAAAAAAAAAAAAAAAAGAATCAATAACATTTCATTTGGTCAAAAAAAAAAAAAAAAAAGCCAGCTGGGATTCTGATAGGGATCAGTGTGGAATGTGCAGCCACCTTAACAATACTAAGTCTTTCAACTCATGAACAGGAGAGGACTTTCCATTTATTCATACCTTCTTTTTTTCCAAAACTGTCTTGTGGTTTTCAGTACATAATCTTGCACTTTAGCTAAATTTATTCCTAAGTATTTTTTTCTTTCTGATGCTATTATAAACAGAATTGTTATCCTAGTTTCATTTTCAGATGGTCACTGCTAGTATATAGAAATACAAATGATTTCTGTATATGTATCCTGCAATCTTGCTAACTCATCCTTTAGCTCCAGTATTTGTGTGTGCAGATCCCTTAGGCTTCCTGTATATAAGACCATGTCACCTGTGGATAAAGCAGGCAGATTTTTCCTTCCTTTCCATCTGGTTGCCTTTAACGACTTTTTCTTGCCTAAGTGCCCTATTTATTAACCTTCAGTGCAATGGTGGATAGAAGGTACAGCAACAGATGACCTTGTTCCTGATCTTAAGGAAAAGGCATTCAGCCTTTTACTATTAAGAGTGATGTTAGTTGAGTGAAGTACAAAATTTTAATAACAAAAGGGATTTTTATATTATGATAAAATGTGTCCACAACAGAGTGAAAAATGTACTTTAGGGAATCAGGCCCAGTTTCTCCAAAGTTGATAACTTATCGTGATAAAATAGCAATAAAATAAAAGTGGTTATCAGAGAACTTATTAGTTAGACACAAGTAAGAACCTGAATACAAATTATTTTACTAGAACTAGAGTTACTAAAGGAAAAACAAAGAAAATAAATATGAAAAGCAAAAGCAACAGATACCCCCCAAAAAGTATTAAGAAAGTTGGTATTATTAAAAGGCTTAAAATTTGTACTTATTTAACGAAGCAGTTTCACTTCTAGAAACTTATCCTAAAGGAAAAAATCTAATATCCCTGTATGAATACGAAAAATTAGAAATAACCCAACTGTCCACAAATAAAAAATTTATAGTACAGTCATATGATGAAAACTCTATTTCCTTGATTCAAAGATGTCACTGGTTTTAAGACACATAAGATATTATTTTAGCAATAGTCTTGGCTGGAAAGACAATACTACTATAAATATACACACTGTAAGTCACACCTCAATTTCGGTAACATGAAAAATATGCATCTTCAAATCCAGAAAATACACTTCTCTACAGCCATTGCTATGTAAGAGAGTATTTACTGTTACAGACTCATGTTCATGATGTAGAAGTAACTTCTTAAAGTTCTATTTGTGACTGATTCACCTAACAGACAAGAGCATGAGAGCATTACCAAGCATATTTTATTTATATATTGTAGACAGTATTTTAAAAGAGTGGTTTTTTAATAAGATAAGCATATCATAATCACCTGAGAAAATGTTTTAACACAGAATTGCTCAGGCCCTATTGGAAATGTGTATCTTTACCTCTAATCTCCAGGGAATAAGACCCACACATGTGTGTTATTTAAAGGTGACTCTAACTTTC